TTTGTGTTAATGTTGTGCATTATGTTGACACTTGGTGTTGTGTGTTGCAGGGCAGCTACAGACCACAATGTGGACAACACCACAGCAATGCTGAGAGACTGGCTGAAGAGGGTTCAGGGGCTCTATCACTATGTGGAGTGGAGACCCATGGAGGAACCTCGGTCAGTGAAACTTTCTCCGCAGACCCCTGAATCCTGATCTCGTTCCCTCCTACTGCCCTCCTTAACCTTCCCTTGCTCCCTCGTGCTTTTACCTTGACCTTATCCCTTCTCCCTGAAACCCCCTCCAACACCGTCACCATATATCAGGGTGTTGCAGTTCAGGTAACAGGACCTCCCTTGGCAATGCGTTTTTTCATACACAGCTACAATTATGATCAGTGAGACTATGGCACACATCACTTTTCCACACAGTCTCCTGATCAATTGAGTTAAGGGTCCTGCTGTTAACACACAGCCACATGGTGCCGTGATGCAGAAACCCAGGTCGTTCTTGACCCTGGACTCTGATGTAACAGGTCCTGTGTGCGACAGCAGGGGTTACAATGCGGGAGGGGTATTCAACAAGAACCACACACCATCCCAGAGCATAGCAGCCAGGATCTTCCCTGGCATTTCGGGATGGGGATTCAGCTCCAGTGTCATTTGTCACTCCCACCTTTTGTCTCACCCTTACAATGATCTGCAGGACCTGTACCCCCTCCTTGTGTTACCCCAAGCACCAGTGAGCAGCGTTGGCACGGTTACCCAGGGGAATGCTGAGATCACTTGCAGTGAAAGCAGGTTTCTTGCCCATAATGTGAGCGATGATCTTCTGCTGGTGTCATGCCCGGGGTGTGCAGAAACCTTAGGGTTCGGCCAAATTCACAGAAGCCCGCCATCTTTACACTGACTAAACATGTCAATACCAAGGACAGGCGGCACAGTCCTGTGGGTTCAAAGTTCAAAGTGCCCTTCCTGTCCAAACCCTGTGTCATGCAGATAGTGAGATGACTTGTTCCATTACTTCTGGGAAAAATCCTCATAAAATGAAAGAAACCACACTGGGCCTTAAAATAATGTTGCTGGATATTTCTTATCGTTCTGTGTCCTCTCGGTTTTAACTGAATCTCGTGCTGTTCTCTCCCTCTCTCCCACTGCCTCGCCCCTCTCAGCTCCTACTCCGATGAGATGGGGCCCAAGCACTGGACCAGCTCGCGCTTCACCCACGTCATGAAGCTGCGCCAGGCCGCTCTGCGGGCGGCGCGGGAACGCTGGGCCGATTACATCCTGGTGAGGGGAGAGTGGGCTCATGGGATACCCATCTGAGGGCGTTCGCCGCCAGGGCTCGCGATGGGACATCAGGGGGTTGGCAGCTAGCCTGGGAACGGGCACGCTTGGCCGTGGCAGGAGATGCCGTACTGGGTGGTAGAGGACGCACAGACCGAAAGTCTTCAGGTGTTGCTTTTTTCACCTGAAGAGATGCAATCTTATGCACCTGTGCATCTTACCGCCACAGTCTGAGAGAAGTACATTGCTCACACTGCCACAGGCCTGTGGCTGAAGGGCAAAACTGAAATATCTCCACCATCAACGATAAGCGCTAAGCTCAGATGTGTTGAAATCAGTGTTTTGAGTGCTGGTGTATGTTTTTTGGATTGGGCGGCAGCTCTAGATTTGTCCCGGTATTTCAGGGGTATTGGTTGTGCACCTCACTCTTCTCTCTCCCTCTCACCCGGCCCCAGTTCGTGGACAGCGATAACCTCCTGTCGAACCCGCGGGTCCTGTCTCAGCTGATGGCCGAGAACCTCACGCTGGCGGCGCCCATGCTGGACTCCCGTTCCCTGTACTCGAACTTCTGGTGCGGCATCACGCCCCAGGTACCCGTCCGTCTTCGCCAAAGTGCAGACAATACAAGGGGAAAGGCACACACTGGCAGTGTGAACAGAATAGGGCAGCAAAAGAGTTAACAGTGAATAGAAAGCAGAATGTTGTATGATGGAGAACATTTGTCAGACATGTAATTGAAACATAAATGATCTTGGGATAAATCAAAATGAAAAGCGAATGCAAGGTGATAAATTGATCACTGCAGTGCAGTTAACTACAAAAATGCAAAGCAAGTACTGTATGTCTCAGCCTTGATTTCTGCCTCTGTCGGAAATCTAAATGGAATTGAAGTGAGTCTGAGCCGATCTCTCTGTGTCTCTCCTGCTCTGTTTGTCCTCACACCACATCTGCCTCTTCCCATTTCCCTCTCTCTCCTTCAGGGGTATTACAAGCGCACCCCGGACTACGTGCCCATCCGAGAGTGGAAGAGGCTGGGCTGCTTTGCGGTTCCCATGGTGCACTCTTCCTTCCTGCTGGATCTGCGGCGCAGCGCGAGCCGAGCCCTGGCCTTCTACCCCCCACACCCCGACTACACCTGGGCCTTTGACGACATCATGGTGTTCGCCTTCTCTGCGCGACAGGCAGGTCAGGCAGGGGGAGAGGCTGGGGGAGAGATGGCGAGACAACCCTCACCCGAGAGCAGGTCCTAGCAGAGTACCATAACACAGTCCAGATCCCCAACCTCATTTTCTTCTTCAATGAAAAGGCAGACTGTCTGACACTAATGAGCTCTTTGACCGAGGCAGGCACAAAGCACAGGCCTGTCTGCATCGCCAGCGTGGACAGACAGGATGAGACCCCCTTCATCCTGCAGAGTCGGACACACAGAGGCGACAGAGCACCTCTTACAGTGAGCGATGGAACACAGCGGTCCTGCTCCAGGTGTTCCTGGGAGCAAGCAGTGAGGGAACAATAACACAGGGAGGAGAGTCAGTATCAAGGTCTTTAGTATCTTGCCAATGCAGAACATAATTGCTCAAACCCAGCCAGTTGTTGTGCACCAGCACTGTAGTGCTAATTGTATTCAATTTGTCATGCTAGTGAAGCCTCTGAGCTCGAACCTGAGAGAGGCAGTGAAGAAACAGACTGTGTGGCCCATCAGTCATGCTCCTGGGTTGTGTGTCACTTTCACGTTGTGTCTTCAGCACTGTGCTGCATTGCATCTAGTGTGTGTAGTGGGCGCTGTGGTGCACATGCTGTGGCGGGTGCACGTGTACTGTGTTGTGTGGGGGTCCATGTCGTTAGCTGGGGTCTGAATGTGCCACGTCTGTCTGTGCTAACCTGCCAAGGATCTAACCACGGCAGGGGGATTTGCTGGCATCATAAAAATAAATGTCTCCCCCTCCAGATCCCTCTTTAAAAAGCAGGATGGAAATGTCCCCCCCCCCCCCCCCCCAGCACACTGATCAATGGAACAGCCCAGGGGTCGCAGGGCACTGTTTGCTTATTAACTCTGTGAAATGGACCTTGCATCAGATTTAGAACTTTAAATAAAAAGATATTGGGGATGCATTTTAAATTGTAGCCATATGTAATTCTGTGGAGCAGGAAAGCTGTTTGAAGTTTTATGAGAAAGTTAATAAGTCCCATGCCCGTGAGCAGGTATTTAGGCTGAGCTTGCGTGTGTGGTTGTAGTTAGAGGTGTTGCAGTGAGGCAGTCCAAACGCCATGCACAATAAAGACAAGCTTCGCAGGACTAATGAGATAAACTCCAGAGAGATCAAGGCAGTGTGCTTGCAGAGATGCTGAGATTGCCCCCACTGGAGAGCCTGCCCCATGTTTTATCAACCAGAGGCTGATTATAATGAGTGTGAGCAGTGTGAGGCAGCATGTGTAACGGTTCTTCTGGGTTTCTGCCCTTGCCCTGCCAGTTCGGCCCTCACTGCCTGGGCACGAACCCGGTCCTCCGGCGTCACACAGCAGGGAACTTGCCGGCTGAGCTAAAGGAGATCTCCCCCAGCCCGGGCGGCTGAGATCCCTGTTATACGCAGGGGCATATTTGTTACATATGGATACAATGTATACAGAGTCAGTCCAGTGTATATACGCAGTCAGCGAGGGTGTGTAGTGTCAGGGTGTGTAGTGTGCGCAGTGAATGTGTACTGTGACTGTAAAGTGTGTCCAGTGTGCATACACAGTCAACAAGGGTGTGTAGTGTCAGTGCTGTGTGTGAAGTGTGTGTAGTGAATGTGTACAGTGTGCATACACAGTCAGCGAGGGTGTGTAGTGTCAGTGCAGTGTATGCAGTGTGCACAGTGAATATGTACAGAGTCAGTACAGTGTGTCTAGTGTGCGTACGCATCAGCAAGGGTGTGTACAGTATCTCTGCACTTTTTGGAGGTCGAGTGGGTGTAGAATACACTCTGTGTTGATACCCAGTGTCTTTCTGCAGACATACAGATGTACATCTGTAACAGAGAGCACTATGGGTACCTGACGGTGCCCCTGAAGCCCCAGCAGACCCTGGAGGAGGAGGTGGAGAGCTTCGTTCACATGCAGATGGAGGTCATGAGTGAGTGTCTGTATCATCGGCACTTTCTTTCTGCCATAACAAAACAGATGGAGGCAGCACATGATTCACGATTGCTCCAGCGTCTGCAGGCCGATGTCAGGGGTTGGTCTGTGTGTGCAGGGGGAGGGAGTGTCAGCCTGCAGGTGGTCAGATACCTGCCCCCAGCTCCTGTCCGACAGGCTGACGCCAGCCTCGACTCAGCACATCTGCCTGAACATCTGGAACAGGGCTGGACACTTCCACTCCCACTCCCACACACCTTCACACACACACACATTTTCACTCGCACACATTTTCCTTTTTCTGTAGCTTGAGCTCCCACTGACTCTCATTATTTTTATGTACTGTTCTGGACTCTACTCGGCACAAGGTTTAAGTAGATAGAATGTAAAGAAGAGGTGATTTGGTTTATTAAAACAGCAATTTATCTTGTCAAGACTTAAGAGTCCTATGTTTTGTCAGGAGTTGTTTCACAACGGGTTTACGTGAAGAATTTATGTCAAACTTTGTCCCCACAAACATTGTATTACCTGCACACACACAAACTTACACACATATTGACACCTGTCCTCAAGACAATTTCATGATGAAGACGGGCCATTCAGAGTTCCAGTCATTTTTATCTGCACTAGAGCGTGTCTTTCAAAACTGTTATCTCCTCTGTAGCCTCTGAATAACATCCAAATCCTCCATAAAATCCACCAGTTTACATTTTCTGTGCCCTTCAGAACTGTAAGTAGATGGGGACACTGTAATTTGTTGTGACATTGTACTGTTCATTTGTTCATTTCTCTCATCCCCACTTTCACTGTCTCTGGCTGGGTTGTGACTGTTGAGCTAGCAGCCTTTGAAAAAATGGAGGGGGGCAGATTTTGGCTCCACAGAAAGGTAATTTGCAGCTCTCTCCCGTGCTCGTGTCTCCGAGACCACGTGGAAATCCTACTCACAGCGACCCCTCACACTCACCCTCCCTGCTGCGGGAAAGCAGCGAGGTGTGACTGGCCTGTCAGAGGCCGGTGTGAGTTTTGTCAAGGCAGTGAGAAGGAGAGAGAGCACAAGGGGCTCATTCAGAGAGAGAAGGAAGATCCGGTGTCAAATAACCTCCACTCTCCCCCCCCCCTCAGTTGACCGCCCGCCGATAGAGCCGTCGCAGTACCTGTACACCCCACCTGCGCCGCGAGACAAGATGGGCTTTGATGAGGTAACAGAACCCCTCCTGTGTGTGTGTGTGTTGGCACGTTTGAATGTCAGAACATGACAAAGGTTGCAAAGGAGTGGAGCCATTTGGCCCCAGTTTGCTCATCTGTTCGATTCAAGTGTCTCAGAACAAACAGTGAAGCGCGGACCAGAGGGCACAAAGTGTGAAGTAAGGGGAGGTGCATTTAAAACTGACCAAACAAGAGACACTTCTGCACACAAAGGGTTGTGGGAGATGGGAACAAGCTACCACGCTGCGCTGTCAAAGTCGATACCCTGGCTTCTTCCGAGAAACTGCTGGACGGCGTCCTCGGTCTGATGAAGTACTGCCAGCCAGACAAACTAGACCTCCTCCGGTTTGTAAAGTGTGGAATTGAGCAGTCAGCTAGATCCAGGCGTTTGTCCAGCCATTTCCTAAAGGAGCCAAGGCCTCAGCCCCTGGACGGGGGAGCCCGCTCCAGACACCCACAGCTCTTTGTGTGAAGAGTTGTCACTGGTGGTCCTGCTGGTCTGTCTCACACCCATGCCCCCCTCAGATTTTCCTGATTAACCTGAAACGCCGCGCGGACCGCCGGGACCGCATGCTGCGCACGCTGGAGGCCCTGGGCATCGACACCACAGTGACTGAGGCCGTGGACGGCAAGTATGAGTGGGGGGACGGGGGGGATGGGGAGCAGGGGAACAGGGGGACATGGGGACATGGGAGCAAGGGGATAGGAGGACAGAGGTGCAGTGAGGACAGAGGGACAAGGGCGATATGGGGACAGGGAGACAGGGGAGCAGGGGGACAAGAGAGAAGGGGGACAGGGGAGCAGGGGGACAGGGAGACAGGATTATTGGGGGACATGGGGACACAGGACTGGATTTGCAGCTGTAGCAGAGTTAGTGTGGTGACGTCAGCGCCTCACTGTGCGTAGCAGGGTCCTCAGCTGTCTGGGCTGAGGGAGGTCTCCTTTAGCTCACGCGGTTGGTGCCCTGTTGCGTTACGCCGGAGACCTGGGTTCGCACCCCAGGTGTGGGGACGGAACGGGTGGCGGGGGGCACGACCCCGCACGGAACCGTGACTATCACACGGCAAAACAGAAAAAAAATGTTCTCCCAGGTTTCTGGAACAGTAAAAGCAGAAAGACCCCAGTCTGGACTGAAACACACGAGGACACGTGAAAAAAATGAACGTTTCAATGACTCCAACACACTTTTCGAGCTGTAGCTGAGGCTGTAGAAAGTTGTGGAGCTGAAGCTGCTCCCTCTGAAAGCAGAGCTGTGTGTTTGCTGCCGCCCTGACACTGCTCTCCCCTCCTGTCTCTCACTCATCTCCCTCCGTCTCCCTCCTCTCTTTCCCCTGTGTCGTTTCCTTCTGCGAGTCCCTCCTTCCTCCCCTCCCCCCTCTCTGTTGCTCTCCCCGGCTCACTGGCTCTCTCAGAGCACTCAACACCTCTCAGATTCAGGCCCTGGGCATAGAGATGCTACCGGGCTATAAGGACCCCTACTCTAGCCGGGTCCTGACCCGGGGCGAGATCGGCTGTTTCCTGAGCCACCACTACACCTGGACACAGGTAACACCTGACGTAGCCGACACTCCCCACTCGTGAAACACACCTGACTATCTGATGGTGCAATGGAATCTGAGGAGATGACACACTCCCGAAGCCAGGAGCTGGGTGCAGGGTGTAGTGCAGGGGTCTCCCCAATCCACTTCTTCTTATGGGTCACCCTAGATCCCTGTTACCTAATCCCTTTGAGCACTTGTTCAAGCAACTGATCAGATAAGCAGAACTAACTTGATTGAACATGTCAGCTATTTAACTGATCATAGTTAAATAGTTCCAGGTGCTGATTTAAAGGCTGTGTATAAAGCCTGCTAGACTGAGACTTTCTACTAGTAGAGGCTTCTGATGCATGATGCATGAGGCAATCTCGCATGTGTTTGGGTCTCTCCGGCTGTCCAGGCTGTACCTGCCTGGCCAGGACGTTGCTCATCTTGATTCCCTCTCGAGAGACTCTTGTGGACAGATGACGGAACTGTTATGTTTTTTTTTAAAATGTGGGGCGAATCATAATAAAAGAGTCAGAGCAAAACCTCTGTGTGAGTCTGTGTCTGAGCCATGGCTCTTTGCTGCCCCCAGGTGGTGGAAAGGGGTCTGCAGCGTGTCCTGGTGCTCGAGGATGATGTGCGTTTTGAGCCCAGGTTCAAGAGGAGGCTAATGGCCATTATGGACAATATAGACCAAGCCCAGCTGGACTGGGACCTCATGTGAGTACGGAACTGCGTCAGCTTGTGAGCAGAGCTGCCTGCTGAGCTTTATAAAAGCATGCAAACATCAGCTTTTTCAAAAAATTCAAAACGCAGGCGAAACTCCAAAATGTGTGGGTTGCAAACACACATCCAAGCAACTACGTTTGACGGAGTAGTCTGGTGGAGTGCTTTAGCGTTCAGCGTTGCACCGATCACACTGATCTGCACACACAGGCTCAGGTACATGTGCTGATACACATCGATACCAACAGAGCATGGGTTCTAAAACTGCTCAGCTGCATTCTGAGGCCAGGTGAGGGTGTAACGATGATCCATAGGACCCTGGAATTTTTCCCACACTAGACTAGATAGTGGCACACACGCCAAGTTACAGCACTCAAGCCTCAGCTTCTCGCCTGCCTGCAGCCCTTACTGTCCAAGCTGTACAGGAGTGGATCTGCTGTTACAAGAGAGACTGGAGTTAAAGGGTGAGAGTGGCACAGTTTTGTGCTGCACAGGCAGGCAGATGCATGGTATGTCACCGTACATGTGAGGGTGAAAGACATTAGACACGAAAGCAGAAAGAATGACTCAAGAATAATCCCTTCTCTCTTCTTTTCCTTTCCTCTGATCCTGTCCCCATGTGCGTCTTCTCCTGCAGTTATATAGGGAGGAAGCGGATGCAGGTGAAGCAGCCGGAGGAGTCGGTCCCGGGGGTCAATAACCTGGTGGTGGCCGACTACTCCTACTGGACGCTGGGGTACGCCCTCTCCCAGCAGGGGGCGCTCAAGCTGCTGGCGGCCCAGGCCTTTGGGAAGATGTTGCCCGTGGACGAGTTTCTGCCGATCATGTTCAACAAGCACCCCAAGTGAGTCAGACCCCGACACCTCCGGGCTTGGCGTGTACCTCAGAGCTACGACCAGCATCCAGCGGGTTCGAGTCGACACAAACAAGCCCGTAATGTAGCAGACTGTGTGAAGCAACAAAGAGGGAAAACACGAAAGCACACAGCACACGCAGTAAGACAGACAGGGCAGACAGAAGCATCTCGCACAGCACAGAACACGAACTGATTAAGTGTGTCCAGTCAGTCCCAGAACCTCATCCACATGAATCCTCTTGAATAATCTGAGCAAGTCTGCTTCAAAAATACCATACCAAAATATGATCCCACACAGCCACAACTCTTTGTGTGAAGAGGTTTGTCCAGGTTCCATTCACTCGCTCACGAGGAAACTGTGAGCCGGGATCCTGGGCTCTTTTCTCATCGTTGAGCAGGAGGCAGCCTGATGGACTGACTGTTAATAGCCCGGAGCCCCGGATGGCTTAGGATAAATACATCACAGTGGCAATCAGCAGAGAGACAGCCCTCCCTCACATTGCATGAGGTGAAATGCACACGAGCTGACAGACAGCGTATTTCTAGCGCGTTGACACACACACTGGTGTGGCCTGCGGTGGCACAGTGCTGAGATTGTTTTCCGGGATCAATGGGAATCCTGTGCCGGTCTCGGCACACAATGGCTCCCTGTGCTCCCCAGTTCCTCAAGACTTCCTGCATCTCCCCCCAGCTTCCTTCTCCTAGCCTCCTCCATTCTCGCTTTCACTCTCCTCCTGTCCTCCACGCTGCCTCATTCTCTCACTGCCAGACTCGCTCTGTCAAGCATTCTCTGATTTCTTCCATCGGTTCCCAACGCTCTCTCGCTCCCCCCTCTGGGTTCAGGAATGCAGGGGGGAGCAGAAGGAATGTGTGGCTGGGGCAGCTTTTCCTGTCCCTCTGTAGGACTGGGACAGAATTCCCATTGATCCCAGGGAACAATCCCAGTTCTGTCTTCTCCAGCATTAATGTGCTAGGTCCCTAGCATGGACCTGAGAGAATGTGCTCTGTGTGTGTGCTTGGGTACACATGTATCCTGCTTGTGTGTGTGTGTGTGTGTGTGTGTGTGTGTGTGTGTGTGTGTGTGTGTGTGCTTGGGTACACATGTGTCCTTGTGTGTGTGTGCTTGGGTACACATGTAT